TGCCGCCAAAGGAATGACCGCTCACAGAATCCAATGATACGTAGCATTGGCTTCTTAATGTTTAATCTTCGGAACACTAAAGTCGCTGCAACAAATCTGCGATGATACCAAAATCTTCTGCATAGGAGTTAAGCTAAGCTGGTTATTAATCGACAAATTCCTAAGCACATAAGGATCCAATTGAGAGGAAAAGTGGAGAACACATGCATACAATACATACTGTCATCCCCGTTGAAAAGAAAGGTGGAAAATAAACAATACATAATTTTACCCCTAGTCAGTCTATTATTAATACAGATGCAGCATTCAATAATTATTCTGATTCTTGGGAGAAGTTATGCATTGAATTTAGACCCTTACAAAATTATAATTTAATTAAACTCGTAGACGTCAGGTAAGATAGGAACTTCCTATATCTATCTGTTTAATTATAGGCACGAAATATACAACAGTACCAATAGAAGTTAGAAATACATATATATTTAAAAAAAAAAACTTGACTGTCTCGCCAGTTCTTCTCAGGTATTGTCATAAAAAGAATAATAATATAATATTAACTTTCATATGAAGGGAAATTCAAGTTACCTGTAAAAAATACGCTTAGCGCTAAAGCTTATTTATATTAATAATTTCGTCAAGGGATACGGTAGACTCGAACGAAACCTTATGTGAATAACAAAACATAAAAAAATATTGATTTCGAGTCGACAACATATATCCGCAAATTTCGGATTATGGAGTATTTCGTTAAATTCTAATGACACTGACAAACAAACTGCAGTCGCCATCTTTTCATGTCACTAGCTAACAACCAATCAACACTACGCGTGCGTTCGCGCCAAAGATCCATCACAAAGAACTATGACATATGACATGTGTCGTTGACGTTTCGCGAAAATATAGTTTTTGATTCTTTTTTATGATAAAAGAGTATACAGTAATCTTTTTTCTTTAAATTGACCAATTGCGAGACAAATATGACAATATTTTTTTATTAATTTGTTTCACGGCTCTGGATACAAGTCCTTTTTAGCCCAATTTAAAGTTTTACAATATAAATTACAAAAATTAAAGTCAATGTCCAATGTCAAATAATAATAAATGTCAAATGTTGTTTCTCTGTTCTGATGACATTTTATTATTACACACATAATGCCAGGTATTTGCAGTTTTTAAATAAGGTTGTGGCACTATTGGAAATTAATGTTATTTACCCATTTTTATAGGTTATACGGAAATAATGTGTGGGTGTTTATTAAAAAGCATTAACACAAAATTAATAAAGTATAGGTAGGTATTAATAAATACGTGGTTGTTGTATCAAAATAAATTTTCTTATTTTTTACTAAAATAAAGACTAACTGCCCTTTTTTATAAAATAAATGACTTTTTCATAGTGTCATATATTATTTAGCTGATTGTAAGAAAATAAATTTGGTTTGTAGATTAATACTGGAAAAATTACTATTTGTACGGAAACGACAAAAATATATTTTTATTCTGTATAACACTACGACAGTAGTGGAAACATTAGTATATGTACGTAAATTATACAATTCTGTTATAAAAACGTAATATTAAAATTTAAAACTAATTTGTTAGAATAAAAGTTTCCGATTAAACAAGCGAGTAGTTTCTGCGTGAAAAAAATAACAAACATACATCTATACTTACACTTTCGTGTTCATAATATTAATAAGATTATCTTATCCGTTACTTAAAAAACAAAAATGAAAATATATGTAGTTAAATTTTTCACACCTTTTGTTATCTATAAAACCTTAATTTAAACGTTATTAGTAATTAGTTAAATAACCACAAATAACACAAAATATTAGTCAAGATGACTATACAGTTACTAATTGGTATATATATAGTGGGAATTGATCGAAAGAACACAGTACTAAAGTCGCAGGTTACCCAACTAAACAATAAAACATCAACCAAGGTAAGAAATTAATATTTATTTAGTTTCTTTAATGTTTTCTATGAAAGCTTTTCAGACGGAAAATTTTCTTTCTAAATTATTTATTTATTTATTAAAACTTTAATGCACAAATTCACAAATATATATAGAAGCATATGGTGGACTGAATTTGATTCACTGCTTTGCAATTAACGATTTGTTATGAGACGTGTAGTATGTATAATGTGGTGTATTAAGTATGCATAGGCTACGGTAACCATGTACATCAGATGGGCCGCATGCTTGTTTCCCACCATCGTAGTATAAAAAAGGTATACAAAGTTTTTTCCTAACGTATTATTATATAGATTCTATTTTATAAATTAATATACAATGTTATTTCTAGATGAACAAGCTCGTTATCATTTTCCTGTTGGCGATGGTGGTGGCATGCTTCGCTACACCCGCACCGGACGCCCCCGAGAGCGTGGCGAAGCGGGACGCCCCGGACAGCCTAGCATTGGCGGACAGTCCGGACAAAGCGAAGCGTAGTCTCGTTTTCCCGTACCGCTCGGTATACCCTTATCGTACTGTATACCCTTACACCTACCCGTACCTGACAAGCCGCTATATTATGCCTAGAAGCAGATACGTCTACCCATTGTATTAAATGTACTAAAACTGCTTTTATTAGGTAATAAAGCATTCAGTATATAAAGGATTTTACTTTTTTTACTATACTTCATCATTTCCCTTGACTTTGACGATAACGACGACGAGATGGAATTTGTAAAAAATCTTTACTAAAGACTTTTTACAATAGTTTTACAATAATTCAGCTGTAGAGCATCATACTTTGTATATCTTTCGCATGAAAGGTAAGATAAGAAAAATTAAATTACAGGATTAGAGAAATATAATCTAAAATGGTATCGTTTCTATCACAAAAATTCCACTGAAGTTAGATAGGAAGGAATTATAGGAACAATAACTACAGATCTTTAAACAAACACTTCATCACACACCACAGATAAAATAATATTACATAGTACTACGGACAATCCTCAATGTAGCGGTTGCTTCGAAGAAGAAAAGCCGAAGAAACGGCTGCTCACGAAATCCCGAAGTCCTTAGCATTGGCCTCCCAACATTTAATCTTGGGAACACTAAAGTCGCTTTAGAAATCTTCGAGGATATTCTGCGTTCTTGCTTGGCTGTTTATTATAATCGACAAGGCTCTAAACGCACAAGGATACAATTGAGAGGAAAAGTAGAACACAATACCTATATTCACAGATGGTTAGTCTGTTATTATTACAGGTGCAGCATTTAGTTGCATTATTCTGCACCTGAATTTAGACCCTTAGAAAATTGTAATTCATAGAACACATTTGCACTAATTGAATGTCATCAAAAGTTACAATTTTACGGTCGTCAGGTAAGGTCAGATCCCGTTGGTAAGGTCATAGGGACTCCTTTCACTTATATCTTTGCTACTTAATTGTAGGCACGGGATATATAATCTTAATAATATTACATTATACATACGTTCTAAAAACTGTGATAAAGTTGATATTCATACCAGTGCTCCTCAACCGAAGTAGCTATCCAAATTGAACGGTAGGGATACTGATAAAAAGAATACTAATATAATGATGACATTTTTATATGCAGAAGATGTTTTAAATTAATAAATTAAATTATATGCCCTACTTTTATTGACATAAGACTTTTCAAAGAAGTAACGAAAAGGTTAGTCGACATCACAGAAGACCGAAGAGCTGGCAGCTACCTTGGACAAAGAATTAGTCTAGCTGTTCAAAGAGGGAACACTACCAGTATTTTAGGAACTTTGCCTAAAGGGACCTAAGGGGAATATATTTTAGTTATTGTACTATATTATTTAAGCTTTTTAATTTTAGGTTGTAGTAAGTATTATATAAATGTCAATAAATTAATTTTGACTTTAAAACGTAAACTTACCAGAATTAAACAACAACACGCAGATTTCTTACTCTTTCTTTTTATGATGACTCAGTTTTCAGAATGAGTGGTAGATTAAAAGTAAGTGTATTTAAAATATACGCTAAAATTCTTTCTAGAATTCTTTTAGCAATGGTATTTCCGAACCGATACGATATTAAAACCTTCAAGAAAAGAGCTTATTCCTTCTTAAAAGACCGGCAACGCAATTGCAATTCCCCTTATGTTGCGGGAGCTCATGGGTGGCGGTAATCACTTACTATGAAGTGAGCTGCAAGCTCGTGTGTCGTGTGTCCAGTGTGTCCTTCAAAGGTCTACTCCGAGTGTACCAGAAAGACAGCCAGTGTGCATAACGCACCATTTTAGACCTTAATTCTATTTTTTTATAAATACATTTTAAATATTTTGTACTTTGTTCCTTTTTATTGTCAAACAGAAACAAATTATGTCTTTTATCATCAGCGACCGTAGTTTCCTTGTAACTAAAATTAAAATATAATAAAAAAATACAGTCTTTAAGAAACATCAGTCATTAAAAGCCAGCATGGAGAAATGGTGAGCTGTCGTAGGGCGGATGGCATCTGCCTCTCACCCCGTCTAATGACCACGACCGTTCTGTCAAGAACGTATCGAATAAGAAGAAGAGAATTTGAAACTTCTTTTTTCTTTTTTTTTATACAAAATACATACCTTTTGAACAACTTATCTTCTTTCTTCTTATTTTACGTTTAGTATATGTTAAATATACTATCCAGAATTGATTTATTTATATAGACTTTTTTTACGCTACACCAATACTTCATATGAATGTTAATAATGTTAATTTTGATAATAGAGGTGTTAGTGTCGCATTTTCACATTTTTTTTATATGGTCACATATAACAGTAATAGTTTTAAGTACATATTCATATGAATATGTAAATGTGTATGTTGTCATAGAATTAATCATATTGGTTTCGCAATATTATAACAAATTTGGCAAAAAGTAAAAGATAAAAAATATAAGCAGTCCTTGAATGAAGGTAAAATATTGAAGACATAAAATTTTACTCAAAGAAAGTATTATTTTAATCCAAAATAATAACATCCACTTATTTATTTGAAGCTTACCTGAGCCGGAAATCGAGGTACCTGAAAATTAAAAAAAAATATTACTACAAAATTTTATACGGTCAACATTGTTCTGACATCACTGGAAAAGAAATAAATTTTAAGGAATAATTAGTGCAGAATAAACTTGCAAAGAAATATAGTTATAGGTATAGCAATAATTAGTGCAGAATAATTTACAATTTTTTTTTCGAATTATTCTACTGCTGTTGACCTCAGCTGGCCTTTTCAACTTCACCGGACGATACGACGAGTGCAGATGGCACTGCAAACACGCGGAAGGACTTATGGAACGGCTGAAGGTCAACTCGTGTCTGACGGATACGACTGTCTATATGACAGAAATGAAGCACTAAGAGCACCGTTAGGGATACGAACCTCAGCTCAAGCTGTCGTAATTTTGATCCCCGTATTGAATTGTACCGGGGAACGATCGGAAGGGGTAATTTTGAATAGAATAGAAATAGAAATAATCTTTATTCAAATAAACTCATTACAAGCACTGTTGAATAGTCATATTTTGATTCTACCACTCATTCGGAATGCAGATTCATCACAAGAAGAATGAGCAAGAAACTTGTGTGTTGCTCTTTTTAATAGATGTTTTTTTTTATATAAATAATTACAGTATAACAAGTAAGAGGCATGCGATAATCAACATAGAAGTCGCTACGCATTCATTATTAATGTAAGCAGATAATATTGTTAGTGTATAGCACTAACAATATTATCTGATTTACAGTTTTTCTATAAAAACATTATTATCGTTAACGAATTCTTCAATTTTATAGTAAGCTTTTTTGCAAAGGAACTGTTTTATTTGACATTTAAATCTTTTTTCTGGCAGATTAGAATAGAATAGAAAATCATTTATTCAAATAAACTTACACTGAAGCACTTTTGAATAGTCATTACATTTTTTTAATCTACCGCTCATTCGGAAAGCTGTCTCATCACAAAAAGAATAAGCAAGAAACTTGCGTGCTACTCTTTTAAATAATTTTATTATTATTTTACATTTTTAAGTTTAAATGTGTGAATACTAACCTCCAATTAGCACTAATTCAATTAAATACTCAAATAGAAAAAATATTGAATATATAACCAACTGGTTAAACAATTAATAAGAGGAAATCAGTCATAGTGAGTAGAGCAGACCAGTCCCTATAAGCAGCATCCGTTCACGAGTATAACGGATGAGCCAGCCATCACTGCGCTCGACCATATTTTAGGGAGCCCAATGACCCGGCCCACCACGCCGCCACAAGTCTGGACATATTAGTGAGCATGACTACTCAAAACAGTAGACCACGTCATAGCTACTTACAAGCTTGAAGGTTACATCATGTTAAAATACTGTGATATTCGAACATGTCACATGATAATACGAAGTACGTGGTGATGTTCCTGTGTACAGGCGACGGTTACCACTTTTTTTTTTTATTGGATTGTTTGCGCTATTGTCAGATGTGTAGCACCTGTAGCACTGCGACCTACATAGATCTATTGTGCTCGCCCTTTTTCAAAGTTCGCTACCTAGACCCAACAAGGACAAGAATTGAAGGATATTCTTAGGAGCGATGGTTTTTATCTCCTCGGGAAAGAGTGTAAACTTTCCAAAGGAGAAATTTCGTTTATGCATGAGTGGGCTACAACCACATAGGATGTGAAGCGGCGTTTCCTCTTCCGTTTGGCAGAATCTGCAGATACTTGTCGTGCATAGGCCTAGTTTAGCCATATGCTACGGTACCACTTACCATCAGGTTGACTGTTAGCTTGGCTGCCATTCCTATTATATAAAAGAGCGTTCAAAGATGGCCTCTGTGGTCTAACGGTTGAGCACACTACTTTACTTCCTATGGTCGCTGGTTCGATTCCTCGTAGACTACAAACATTTGTATTTATAAGTGTGATTGCTTATATTGGTATTTTCTATGTATATCATTACATAGTATAAAAGAGAAAAGAAAGTCGCTGTCGCTGTCTGTCCGTCCCTATGTATGCTTATATCTTTAAAACTACGCAACGGCTTTTGAAGCGATTTTTTTAGTACATAGAGAGTTTCAAGAGGAAGGTTTATATATTTTTAAGGTATATTTATAAGGTTTATATTTTAGGTTGATGTATAATACGTGCGAAGCCGTGGTTAGCTAGTTGCGTATACAGTAAAAAATATATATTTAAGTACTATTAGACATCTAGTGGCTATAATACAAGCTCTGGTTAGGACTATTTAGATGATCGTAACGCTTCCAGTAGCGATGGTTAGGTTTCCGTAATAAATATTAATATTTAACAAAATAATTTAATTTAGAATAATAAGAACTTAATTTTATATTATCCGATTGTACAATGAATGAGTGAGTAGCGGTGTCTATGTTGATTGTCGATTACCTTCTCCGTGGTTTTTTTTATTTACCTACAACAGCATTTATTTAAAAGAGCAAAGTAAGTTTCTTGCTCGTTCTTCCTGTGATGAGTCTGCGTTCTGAATGAGTCGTAGAATAAAAAATACACTTTAAGTTAAGTATATTTGAATGAAAAATATTTATACTAGATTTTTGCAATTAAGTTTATGTTACTGTACTGCATTTTAACGCAAGATAGCTTTATGTGCACACAGGGTCGTATGTACTTAGTATAGTATTACTTGTATTCCAAATTTTATAATAGGTATACAAATATAAAATTATTAAAAAATTTGAAATCTACCAACAAATTTATGATTAACAAATAACCAACAAATATAGTAAAATAATAATAATCTCAGGACAATTCTCACAGCGCCATCTAGACCCAAGTTAAGCTAGCTAAAGCTTGTGTTATGGGTACTAGATAACTGATACATATACATAAATACTTTTTTTTTGTAAATACATACATATCATACATAGAAAACACCCAGACCGATACAAACAATCATACTCATGAATACAAATGTGTGTGCCGTGCGAGGAATCGAACCCGCGACCATTGGTCGTAAAGCGGTGTGCTAGACCGCTAGACCACCGAGGTCGTCACGTCATAGTATAACAATTGTCAAGAATTTCGAAGACAGAATGGATAGATTTTTTTAAGTTCTAGTTAATTTACAATGAACAATAGTTGAGGAAAACCCATGAAATTAGCAGGTATGTACAGTTAACAAAATAAATTTAATGACAAAATGTAACTGTATATACACACAATATACAAATGGTCCGTACAATTAAAAATAAATTAACGTATTGAATCAAAAAGAGTATTTAAGACGAAAGTTTGCTGCAATGTAATTATTCCAAGTTTTTTTCTTGTTCCTACAACAATAACATCAAGGTAAGACATAACAATATATATCTTTTTGTTACATTATTTAATATTGGCGGTCAACTTCGTTTTATACTATGTAAAGATGTGAATTTTGCATTTAAGGGAGTCAATAAAATTTTTTTGGTTTATATATTTTAACAATAATTATATTTAATAAATAATTAATCAATATGTATAACACAAAGTTTGTTGAATTGTATCCGTTTTGTTGCACCTTAGTTACATACAGAAAGAAACTTTTCGAAATACTAAAGTAACCCCCTTTTTATTTTTATTTTTGTTATTATAATTATTATAATGTTTGTATTGTAATACTCTTATTTCTTATTCATACTCATTTTTCTTATTCATTTTCTTCGTATTTGTATTGTTTTGTTTTTATTTTAGTCCACTAGGCTCACTAAAAATAAAATTAAGTAAAAAATTTTCGGCACTCAATGTCTATCGTAAAAATTACTTTTATTTGTATATTTATATGTTTTTATAACGACTGTTTGTTGCCAAAATAAAGAGAAAAAAAAAAGAATAATAATTATATTTTAATATTTTTTTTATAATTAATTTTTTTTTCTTTTAAATTAGCTACTCGCCCCATCTCGCTCGGGTGTACATGTATTATATATACAAACCTTCCTCTTGAATCACTCTATCTATTAAAAAAACCGCTTTAAAATCCGTTGCATAGTTTTAAAGATTTAAGCATACATAGGGACAGACAGCGACAGCGACTTTGTTTTATACTATGTAATGATAATTTAACAATATACTCATATTAAATAATAACAACTTGCCTTGAACTATATATACTATATAATCTCAAGATAATTCAGACAGCGCCATCTAGACCCAAGTTAAGCTAGCTAAAGCTTGTGTTATGAGTAATAGAGAACTGATACAAATGCATACATATATATTTTTCGTAAATACATATATATTATAGATTAAACACCTAGACCGATACAAACAATCATAGAATAGAATAGAATAGAAAATTCATTTAAGCACTTTTGAATAGTCATAACAATGTTTTTTTTTTATCTACCGCTCATTCGGAAAGCTATCTCATCATATTCATGACAACTACCTATATATAAACATATATAATATATATATTTTAATAATACATATAGTATTTACAAATATTCTTCATTCACAGATGATTAAGACGATCTTCGCTTTCATTCTCCTAGCTGCTGTGGCCGGATGCTATGGAGAAGAAGTGAAAGAAGAGAAAGTTGTCTACAGAACCATTCTTCCTCTATCGTACAGATATGGATACTACCCTGAAATTGAACAGCTACCTCTGGGCTACAGGGCTGCTAACCCTGAAGCGTACGACCTTTCGTTAGGATATCCCTACCCACATTTCATTCCAGGAGAATACGTTTAGTTCAGTACGGAAATATCTTCCTGAAATTAATAACAATAAAAATATATTTTTATAAATATTTGTATGTATAAGATAAATAAATAAATATATAAATATTAATAATACATTTTATTTCAAAATGACACATTTAAGATTGCAATATCCTTTTCTATCTTTTATATGATGTGATGTAACGAATATTGCTCAATAATAAAAATTAATATAAAATAGTTTTTTTCTTTTATTTTTAATACTACCAGTGAGGTAAGGAGATTCAAACATAATAATATACATATTAAATTTATACATACATATATACTAAATACAAATCAACAATGAGATA